CTTAAACCATGTATGATTATAACTCTAACATTCCTTACAATTATAGTTTAATAGTCATGAATTCTCAAATATCATGTGTTTATGTGTTACAGTTCTTTCATATTATTACATTAAAGTATTCAAAAAATACTTTCCATCCATTGATTTGGGATGCATTCCAAATTGCGCTAAAACATTTTGTGTCCGAAACACTGAATTCTTAATAAGATTCAGATGATGTTGACAAAATTCTGCGATCATGATGATGATCACACTATCCTTGTAAATTATTCTCAACCCAGTTGTTTATTCAGAAATGAACAGAATTGACTATTGTTGATGTTGTTACTGGTTTTCTGTTATTTGTACTTTGCTCGAGATGAAACCAAATACACATTCGTAGTACAATACTTCGCTGAACTTGTAAACAAACGAAGAAACTATTTTGTGTTCAGATGGTATTGGAAATTATCGGCATGATCCTGTAAATGAAATGCACCCTCCATAAAGGCGAAGTGATCATAATTGGTGACAATAAGTGTCATAATTCTAATCATAATTTCTATATTTTTATGTCCACTAAAGGATATACTGCAAAACTTGTCGTTTCTGCTACAACATATATAAATACAGGGCACAATTACAAGAATAGTTTCAGTACTTGAAAAGACTTTGGCTGGAAGAGGATCAAACAAAGCAATGAGCATTTACTGTCGTGTTACGCAGTGTCCATGGCAAGGATCTGAACAGGAGATATTCTATCATATCGAATCGGAACATCGTCAATTGTTAAGAGAATCGAATGGGAAAATTTATTTTGATTTATCACTCAAGGATTTGCAGCATGAAACGCTGGTGCTTGTATGCCAACAAGGACTCTATTGGTTGACTCAAGATTTTCGAAATGACTCAAATGGCATATCGTTTGGCATTTTTCATATTGGCGAATCGCAGCGGATGAAATACAATGTGCAGTTGTTGGGAATCGATCAACAATTTGGTCCATATTCAACACAACAGGATCAACATCCTTCAAGGCGTCATAATGATATCTATGAAGTTATAGTTGAATTCAAATTACTAGATACGCTTAGTGAACATTCGAGAATATTAAGAGTCTCTTTTGAACTGGAGGATACAGGAGACTGTGATTCTAATTCCAAAACTGATGTGAAGCTATTGTCGGATAATAACCCTATTGTCAACCTATCTGCAGATAAACTAATATGTGCCGTGTGCTTGGATTTTATACGTCGTGATGCACGATTTTGTGAAAACAAGCATTTTGTGTGTGAAAATTGTTTCGAAACAATGCTTGAATGCCGTAAATTAAGATGTCCAACCTGTCGTGGCATCTATTTGTATGATTGTTCAAGTGATGTACAAGATTTTTGGTCCAAGTCGGATGATAAAATAAATCATTATATATAAATAAAATTATTTAATTACATTCTAAATGAATTTTTAACAAGGAGTGTTTTGAATATATTGTTGGTGATGGATTGTTTTTCTTGGTAGACTCTGGTTCATCAGAATTTTAAGCGTGGATTTTTAAAGCATAATTTTTGAGGGATCACCAGAACTATAAGCGTGCATTTTTAGAGAATATTTTTTGAGGGATCATCAGAACTATAAGCGTGGATTTTTAGAGAATATTTTTTCTTTAAAAGCCAATGCTTATAGCTTTTCTGCTACTTCAAATCTCTTCTAGTCCCTCAAAAAACATTATTTTAAATCCACGCTTGTAACATTCGGAGTCATGCAAAAAAATTCTTTAAAAAAGTTCTTCCAATCATTCAAAAAATATTTTTTAAAAATCCACGTTTATAGCTCTTCTTGTCTTTCAAAAAATGTTCTTTAAAAATCCACGCTTATTGCTTCTAGACCTTTAAAAAATATTCTTTAAAAAATATTCTTTAAAAATCCACGCTTATTGCTTCTAGACCTTTAAAAAATATTCTTTACGAATCCACGCTTATGTATCTTCCAGTCCCTCAAAAATATTTTTAAAAGTCCACGCTTATAGCTCTTCAAAAAATATTCTTAAAAATCCACGCTTATAGCTTCCTTCAAAAATTATTTTTTTAAAATCCAGTCATTCAAAAAATGTTCTTTAAAAATCTAGGCCTACAGCTCCTCTCTATTTCCTTCGATTTGCATAGCGTACTGAATTGAGTATGTAATGATGTGTTGTAAGTTTCGGTTGTGATTTCGGTTTGATATATTCGTGCGATTTTAATTGATGTTTGTCTGATTAACACAAAATTTTGCACAACCTATCAAATTGAGACTTGAATGACTTTATTGGGTGAAAATCGGTTTAGATTTAGATATAGCTCCCATATGTTTTCGTCCGATTTTATGTAAATAGTGCACCAAAGTCTCAATATATTTTTCGATTTCCACGAAATCTAGCATAGCGTACTGAATAGTGTCTAGAATGATGTGTGCTAAGTTCCGAGAAAATCGGTTCAGATTTAGATATAGCTCCTATATATATTTTCGTCAGATTTTAGGTAAATGGTGCACCGAGGTACCTATTGAAGTGGTGAAATTAAGTATGTTTATGCCGTAATTGTTTTAGGTAGTACTGTTAATCAAACTCCATTTGACTGGTTACCGAATAACAAACATTAGTGGTGACGAGTATCTAAGTATGTCCTCATTCGTAAACAATTCGGTTCTCATTTAGTATCCATCCCACCCCATTCGTAATTTATTTAAAATTTTTTTATTTAAAATTTTTCTATCATCGGTAAAAAAGGGACGAGAGAAAACCATTATCCATTTTTTTGAACGCCGATGTAAACAGAGAGCTAAAGCAACAAGTTTTTGAAATGAGTTCCTCTGCGGATATTTTCACACAAATTCCCCGACACAATATTTTAGCCCACCAAAATATTTGTCGTCTATGTGGGAATTCTTATACGGAGGTGATGATCGACATCTACGATGATTATGACAGTCCCTGTGAGGCGTATAAAATTATAGCAAATTATTTTCAATCGAGGGTAAGATTATTACAACAACAATAAATAATATGCACAATTACAATAACCAAAATCAAACTTTTTATTCAGTTTTTGGATTTGAACAATGGTAATCCGCTGAAGAAATTGTGTACACCCTGCTGGAGTCACATATATGAATTTTATAAATTTCAAAATTCCATATTTCAACTGGAAGCAGAGATCATAGCTAAAGTAAAAAGCCTCCATAAGGCCTCGTCTAACAAGAATGACGGTAATTCCAGCCATAATGGAGCAACAAATGCAATAGATTTGGAAAATGACTTTCCAATTTTGAAAATTGAATTGGCCACAGATGACTTTGACAATTTTGCCGCTATGCCCGATATTGAAGGAAATGATCATGATCCTCGCTATCAAACAGAATTGAGTGGAGAAGAAATTGTGGCGAAAGAAACAGCAGAAGCCATCAATGGAGGGCGTAATGAAGTGACAACAGATAATGATGAACTTTTGAAGGTGCATTACTATATTGGAACTAATCGCCTGAACAATACAACAAAAAGTCTACTTGATGAATCGAAAGTCGTTATCACCAACCCCAACAATGACGAAAATATCAGCAACAATAATAACAACAACATTCCAGCGAACAGATTTGCTTCAAAACAAAGAAAACCCAGACAAATAAAAAGAAGATATACTTCTAAGCGTGGACAACACTTAAGATATAGATATTTAAGTAACATCGAATCTGAACAACGGGCAAACGGCAGTAATACTGTTGCTGCTAAGAAGCACTTAATGTCGCAATGGCTTCTAAGGGGCAGAGAAAAGAAAACCTTTAAGGAACTGGATAGTATTATTGCACAATGGAAACCACAATTAGATTGTCGGTGTTGTCAAGGAAAATTCAAAACATTTACCGAATTGCAGCGCCACGTTCATCAGGAACATCCGAAAAAAGAATTTTATGTCTTATGCTGTGATCAAAAATTTGGCAGACGTTATTTTCTAGGAAATCATTGTCTGATGCATCTCAACAATGGTAAATTAGAATGTGTGAAATGAGGTAAATATTACAAGTCAACAAGTTATTTGCATTTGCATATATCCCAATGCAATGGGACGAAATAGAAAAAAAAATCATATATGTACCTATATTTGAGACTGTATTCTAAATTTGTTCGTAAAAGTATTGTAGCCTAAGCATATGTATGTGCATATATAGAGTATAAGTATGGCGTATATATAAATAATATATTTTTAATAAAACTATTTAAATTTGTATCAAATTATTTATTTATTTAGCAAATTTTCGTACCTGACTTATTTTAGTATCTCGGTACCCTCCAGACGGGACGGAAATTGACGAAATGGAATTCCATACTTTGTAGGATATACATTTCAACTATTTCAAGCTAAGAATATTCACCATCCTCCATCCATAGAAATAAGTAAACTAATTTAATATAAACCAGTAAGGAAAGAAGTTGGCTTTAGTGAACCATTTACAATAAATTGGACGAAAATATATACGGGAGCTATATCTATATTTGAACCGATTTTCACAAAACTTGACTCACATCATTCTAGACTTAGTTCAGTATGCTATGCCAAATTTCGTGCAAATCGAAAGATATATAGAGAAATCGGATGAAAATATATATGGGAATTATATCTGAACCGATTTTTTCCAATTTCAATAGGGTTTGTCTTTGGGTCAAATAAGTGACCTATGCCAAATTTCATCCACATCGGATCATAAATGCGACCTGTACTTTGTTCACAAAAATACATGGTCGGACAGACAGACAGGCGGACGGGCGGACATGCGTAAATCGACTTACAAAATGATTCTATGCATATTCTCAAAAGAAATCATGTGTCTATCTCGTATCCTTTTGCCTGTTACAAACATATGCACAAAGACATAATACCCTGTACCACAGTGTGGTGAAGGGTATAAAAACGATAGTAATTACAATTCTGAAGAGCATACATTTATTTTCAAATCTTCACTTAAAAATTAAAAAAAAAAAAAAAACAAAATTATCGGACATTACATTTGTGGGCCTGCACAAGTTCTTTGGTCGCAAAACATTTACTACACGTGGCGCATTTCAAATCCTCTGGATACAAATGCGTTTGAATGTGCTCCTCCATGCGATATCTGGTCGCAAACCGATGACGACAACAAACAACATAAAATTTATTTTTTGAATGTTTCAATTGAAAATGCTGCTTCAACAGTGTAAATGTATCGTATGTTTCCTTACACACTACACATTCCAATTTCGGTTTAACTTTCGCTATAATATCATCCAATTCTTTAAAGGTTTTCCGCGTTTCTCGCGTCGGCTCCAACGGTGTGCAGTGATCATTTTTGTGCGAGCACAAATTCGAACGATTCGTAAAGACACGACCACAATTGCGACATTTAAATATATATGGATCGAAGTGTAGGCAAACATGTTCGGCAATTTGACAGCGATAGATAAAATTACGTTGACAACATTTAACGTAGAATTGTTTATCTTTATGCGCATCTTGGAAATGTTCTTTCAGCAGGGTAAACGTGGCATATTCTCGATTACATTCGGTACATGGTAATTTGGGAAGCCACTGAGCAATGAGTTCATCAGCATCCGTGGCAGTTCGATGATCGGATTCAATGAATTTTAAAAATACTGGATTCTGTTGCGCTCGATATGTTGAGTCTTGTGGCGGTGTGGCAAAGTATTTCATTCGCAAACGTTTTCTTTTACGATTTTTCGTACGTTCACATTTTGGATTATAATCGACATCATCGTCATCATCATGGTTGTGATGATTTCGGTCATTTTGTTGCGCGGTAGTATTTTCTGGCTTACATTCTTTTTCTTGCTCCGTTACATTTTCTTGGGATCGTAAATCTGTATCCAATTCATCTAGTTCGGAATATGAAATATCATAATCATCTTCACAATCACTTTCATAGTTTAGGGTTTCTTCGTTGGCACTATTTGTCGTCGTTAGCTCCACATTATCTTCCATGTCACTATCATCGGATATTTCATATGATTCAATTTTCGTTGTAGTAGTTTTATTTTCTTCTTTTTTTTCTTCTAATTTTACTACTTTGAAATTTTGTCGCGTATTTGTTTTAATTTTAGCGATATTAGGAATTGCCTCGAACATTCCTGTTTTATTACCTTCATCCAAATTCTCTTTAATCTCCTGTAGCTTTGCAATAACATTTGTTTCCATTTGAAATACAAATCCTTGAAATTTATGAAATTCATAAATATGAGTCCAACAATCGGAACACATGCTTTTTAGGGGATTGCCGTTTTTTAAATCCAAAAACTATAGAAAAATATATAAAAATAGATTTACAATTGATTGAAGTAACGATAATATTGGTGTATTACTTTCTTACCCTTGAGTTAAAGAAATTTGCTGCAATTTTATATCCTTCACTGGGATTACCATTTTCATCGTATATTTGAAAGAACTCATCCGAGTAATCGTTCCCGCACAAACGGCAAATGTATTGTTGTGTCATAATGCTATTTTCGGGGAAATCGTGGTATCATGCCAAGTAAGTCAAATAGGTGAAAATATTTATAAAAATAAAGTAGCCATGGAAAGTAGCAAAAAATATATATGGGAGCTATATATACATCTGAAACGATTTTCACGAAACTTAGCACACATCATTCTAGACTCAATGCCACTAATATTAAATCGGATGAAAATGGGAGCTATGGGAGCTATATATATATATATACAACTAACGTTATGTAGCTCAGATAAAATCCGGTTAAATTCTATCCAAACTTTCTATTTGAAAAAAAAGCTTTGGAAAAGTATAATAACGAATGGATCAAAGTGTAGTTGAGCCATATTGCAGATGATACCTAAGTGTGATACTCCATCAAAAGCTTTTTCAACATCAAGTGAGATCGCTACCGTACATTTTCGTTCTCGTAAATTATTAACAATATCATTATGGAGATTAAGAAGGGCGTCGAATGCCTTTTTTTTTAAAGCCGAATTGAATTATGGGATATACGATGTTCCTCACTCATGTAATCCATGTTTATGCGCATAATTCGCTGAAAATTGTACGTAAATTGGATAACATGGAAATAGGTCTTAGATAACAAATATCGATGTTATTTGGCTTGTTTAAAATTCGAACTATTTTGGAAATCTTCCATTTATCTGGAAAGTAATAATTGCATTAGCAATTATTAAATATGATTGTAAGATATTCAAACGCTTTTGTCGGTAATTTCTTTGTTATAAAATTAGATATTTTATCCAATCCGCAAGATTTTTTCATTAAAAGTTTTACTAAGGATAACCATTTTTTCCATAGTCGTTAATCTAGAATTCACATTAGCAGTAAGAAAAGAATGGAAGTCACTAAAAGTAATCATATTAGAATCGGTTGCAGTGGCTCTTTCTATGACGCTTTCCATTTCATGTGTATTTTGAAGCTTTGGTAAGTTGTGTTGGTAAATATTACCAAAATATTCTTGAAATATGAGCCATTGGACCTGGTTTTATTTGTCTAACTCTTTCGGAAAAGAGCCTTGCTTCTTCAATTTCAACATGCTTTTTTTACAGCTGCACTTTTTTTTTTTTTGATAACATACGATAAAATATTTTCTACAAGTATCTATGATGTCTTCGATGTCTGAGCGCTTAGGAGTAGTAGTCATAAAACGTAAAGGCTATTTGATGGAATACAAACTATGAATTATTAGCTATATTTTAAATGTTTCTACCTTTACGCAGACTGAGAATATTTGCAAAAACACTAGCTTAACTATTGCAAGCTCCGTGTGATTTTTACAGGCAGTTGGACACATTTAAGCCACAACGTCTTTTAAGCTGACGGTGGTTAGGAAAAGAAACAAAATAAATAGTAACTTCTTCGCCTCAATATCAGAACTAAGTTTTTACTATTCTACTACACTATTTTAAATATTAAGGCTCCAAAAAAGAAGGGCAGGGGTATACGAATTCTATATTATTCCTTTATCCCAATGTATTTTCTCTTTATGTTTACCAGAAGAAGTTCCTTACATATCAAAATCCACAAATGTTGTTGCGATTTAACACTTGATGAAATAAATAAATATTAAATTAAATAAATGTTATTATTTATATACTTGTTTATTTTGTTGTGTGTTCTCTTGGATTTTATTTTTATTACAAATTGTTATAAAAAATTGACAATAGAAAATATACAACAATAAACAGCTGATTGTGTGGCACAAAATTAGTCGGTCGCGTAAAGCAAAAACGTCTATGGGAAATACCATGGACAATGAACAAAGTATAATTTCAAAGTATGTATATTTAAAATGTATATTTTGAGGAATGTAGGTAATATTAAATTTGTCGTTTTCTTTCTGTTGGTCTGTGGAAATTATTTTCTTTGGATTAGGTATCACTATCTAAAGCACTATCTCTCCCTAATACCCAGTATTCAATCTTAGATGTCAGGAAATTATCTCAAACTTTTTCTACCTTGAACGGTATCCTGAACAAGTAGATCCAAGGTACTTCCAATGAGTGTTTCCGTAAATCTGTAGATTTTGCAATAGATAAATATGCGGTTAGACACGTGGACATATGTATTTGTCTGAGGCCATCATAAGCAACATTTTATGTGCTAATATATCTGTGAAATATGGAGATTTAAGCAGTTACTGATTCAAATAATTGTTACTAATATAAACCCGCTATAATGGGATGATCCATAATTTAGAAATTTTAAATCGGTTAAAAATTTGCACCACTATAAGGTAGAAGTAATATTCAATTTGTTACTCCATTTGGAACACTTTAAAATACCTCAAATACAGATTGCAGAATTTCAGATAGAGTTTAGAACGTTTGGGCATACATTGATACTTTCCATAGGTTGTGTGGTATAGAAAAAAGTGATATAATTGATATATGTTCTGGTATATAACGTTACCTTCATATTCAACATTTTTAAGGTTTTTGGTTTTGGTGGCGTTTTCCAACCGATGTGGATGTTATTTGGCAATTCGAGTTTTCGAAGTGGGAAAACATGTTGACAGAAAATTTTAGACATCGGATTTGGGTCTCATATTTTGATGAGCATTTTCCAATGCAGGTGTCTATAATTTTGCATTCCAAGTTCTTGGGTGGTGAAAAACATTTTGGCTGAAAATTGATAAGATAGGTCCCATATACAGGTCCATCCCATTTTAGATATTTTTATGGTTCAATGCAAATTTATGAGATTTATATCCTCTTCTCAGAAAATAATCAGTAGGTGTGTTTACAATAGATCACATATAATGGCACGGCTCTATTGTCGATATTTTGAAGATTATAGTCGCATATTACAAACGAATTGGCTGTAATTCAGCATTCCGGGTTCATGAAAATGTCTTTACCGAAAAGTTTCAATATAGGCCTTTGTCCCCATATAAAAATCTGTTACGGTGATGGTCCTATGCGACCATTATTCTTTGAGGATTCTACAATTAAATTGGGTATAATTTAACAATTTAAATTCTACTTGATTAGAGATCAAAATTTTTATCTTAAAGGTACTGGCCAATTTTGAAGAATATTTCCAGTTTTCTAAACAAATTTTTCTAAATAAGCTTTTGGGGTTCTTCTCCACCTAATATTTGGTTTTATATTTCCACGTTTTAAGATTTTCATCGAAATTGATTTCTATTTCTTTCACACACATCACCTCTTCCAAAAATAGCGCAAAAAGCTTAACGCGTAACCCATACAACTTGTTGCTCTGTTATAGTCGATTCGATTAACGAACGCTGTTATCGTCGCTGCCAGTGTTATGCAATTTGACAAGTTCTACGTGTGGAATACATTAGTATTCAACCTGTTGGTGGAGTAGGGTGTTCTGATTTTTCATTGCGCTTAATTGAATAAAAATAAGAAAGAAAATATGTCGGCATTTTTGAAGGCTTCTAGATTAATGGGTTCGGTTGCTCCAGCCCGTTTCTTTAGCTCAAAAATTAATGATGTTGTCATTGTTTCGGCCGCCCGTACTCCCATGGGCAGTTTCCAATCACAATTGGCTCCAATGAGTGCCACTCAATTGGGTGCTGTTGCTATTGAAGCTGCCGTCCAAAGAGCCGGTATTAGCAAGGAAGATGTCCAAGAAGTCTACATGGGTAATGTAGTATCGGCTGGTTTGGGTCAAGCTCCAGGTAAGCATAAAAGAAAAATATAGGCAACATATTGAGTGTTTTATTAATTGTTGGTGTTGTTGTACAACACCAAGTGAATTCTTAATTAATCAAAATGGGGTGATGTCTAGTTGTTTGTGTGTATGTATGATTTTTGGAGAAATCAAGTCATTTAATAATTGGATCGCAAGATAGATAACAAGGTTATGAAAACTGTATGGTATTCTTTATTTTTTATTTGTTTTCTAGCCAGACAAGCTGCCATCTTTGCCGGTTTGCCCAAAAATGTTTGCTGCACCACCGTCAACAAGGTCTGCTCCTCTGGCATGAAGGCTGTCATGATTGCCAGCCAGTCCTTGATGTTGGGCCAATCTGAAATCGCCGTTGCCGGTGGCATGGAATCCATGTCCAATGTCCCCTACTACTTGAAGAGAGGACAAACCCCCTATGGCGGTGTTAACCTTATCGATGGTATTGTCTTTGATGGTTTGTGGGATGTGTACAACAAATTCCACATGGGTAACTGTGCCGAAAATACTGCCAAGAAAATGGGTATCACTCGCCAGGATCAAGATGACTTCGCCATCAACTCGTACAAACGCTCCGCCAAGGCCTGGAGTGAAAAGGTCTTCGATGCCGAAATTGCCCCCGTCACCATTAAACAAAAACGCAAGGATGACATTATCGTGGCCGAAGATGAAGAATACAAGCGTGTCAATTTCGATAAGTTCGGCAAATTGAGCACTGTCTTCCAAAAGGAAAATGGCACCGTCACCGCTGGCAATGCCTCCACATTGAATGATGGTGGTTCGGCTGTTGTCCTGATGACTGCTGATGCCGCTGCCAAGATGAACTTGAAGCCATTGGCACGTGTTGTTGCCTTCCAAGATGCCGAAACCGATCCCATCGATTTCCCCATTGCCCCCGCTTTGGCTGTACCCAAATTGTTGGAGAAGGCCGGTGTCAAGAAGGAAGATGTTGCCATGTGGGAAATCAATGAAGCCTTCTCTTTGGTCGTCTGTGCCAATATCCGCAAATTGGATGTTGATCCCAACAAAGTGAATATCCATGGTGGTGCTGTGTCTTTGGGTCATCCCATTGGTATGTCCGGCGCTCGTTTGGTAACACATTTGTCGCATGCCTTGAAGACCGGTGAATACGGTTGTGCCTCCATCTGCAATGGTGGTGGTGGTGCTTCCTCCATTTTGATTCAGAAATTGTAAATTTCTGAAGAAGAACAAAATCAAAACTACTCTATAAGATCATAAAAGTCAAATCTATTACCAGTAATGCATTTATATAATAGAAAAAATAAAAACATACATATATTTTTTTACAAACAAATGAAAATTAAATTTTCGCAAAATTTTATTATGTAATCCCGTTAAATAAAATGTGATATGAGCTATGTGCATTTGTTTATGTATGAGAAAAAGAATATAATAAAAGGAAAATGTTAAAAAAACAAAATCGAGATAAGAAATTTTAAAAAAATATTTAATTTCTTTTATTTTTATTGTGTGAGGAAAGTTTTTGGGGACCACTTTTGTGTTTTGCCCACAATAACAATACTATTATTGTTATGAATAATTTATAATAAGTATGTGTGCGTGTGTGTCAGATTAACAAAATCTCTTAGCTGTTGGAAATTATGGAAAACAAATAGCAACACTATTTTAAAATGCATTATCACTTAGTGATGTTTATTGACCAGCACCACACATGCCTTCAGTATTTTTTTTTTATTTGCAAAATTTTAATATCAGTGTGCTTGATTAATATTCAGAGCAACAATGTCTTTCTCCCACTCTCTTGGGTCTTAGCACAGTGGGCTAAAACAAAAAATAATTGTGATATTTTCTTGAAGTTATTTTTTTAATCCTTGAAAAATATTCCTTCGGAAATCCACTCCTTTTATAGTCCTTAAAAAAATATTGTCTGAAAAATCACTCCTTTTTACTCCTTGAAAAAAATCTTTTCAAAATCCACTCCCTTTTTAGTCCTTACAAACAATTCCGTGAAAAATATTCCACGCCATTTATAGTCATTGAAAAATATTCTTTAGGAAATCTACCCTATTTATAGTCCCTGAAAAATATTATTTAAGAAATCCTCGCCTTTTATAGTCCTTGAAAAATATTCTTTAGAAATTCATGCATTTTATAGTCCTTGAAAATCCATGCATTAAAAAGTCTTGTCTTGATTACTGCATACGTCAATAAAATCTCTAAAAATATCTTGTAAATAAATAATATGAAAAAATAAATAAATAGATTTCAATGAATTATCTTAGATTGTTTGTGGATAGATTAACACCGAATCCATTGTAGTGTGTGTGTGTGTGTATTTAGGCCTGTCTGGTCTATTCTGATAATATACATATGTATGTGGAAATTTACAGCTTATCAACAAGAACATAGATTTGTTTTTGCAGCTATCTTTGTTAATTTTTAGAAATATTAACAGTGGTGGTAACGGAATTCCTTAAGAAAATTATATCATAACCATCTGAACACAACGTCATCAATGTGATGATATGATTGAATTCTGATTAGAATGGTTGCTATATCTAATCATCCAACTGATATAGTATTGATTTTTAGTTTTTGAAACACTGTTCTAGAATATACCTTCTTTCATATTATTTATCCAAATAAATTAAAATATTTCCTTATCTTAGAAAAAAAAAAACAATTTTAAAAATATTTACAAATATGTTTGCCTACAAAAAAACTTGTTGTACAAAAATAGAACACCCATTTTCAGCTGTGTTGTTATGTCGGCTTAAATCGTATTGTTTTTCCAGTATTCTTTGCAAATATATCAGCCAATTCATCGTCCGTGAGTGCTCGTTGATGGACTCTTTGCATATGATTAGAAAACCTGAAATGAGAAGAATTTAAATATTAAGATGTTGTTTTGAGCTTTAAAGTCAACAAATAAACTAATCAGGGGCGAAGACTTTTTTGTGGGAGAAGTCGTTCGGCAAAAAAAAAAAAAAAAACTTCAAAATAATGGAAGTCAATACTAGTTTTTTATAATCTCAACCATAAGGAGATGTGTATATTAAATTCTTGGAAAAATATTCTTTAGAAAATCCACACCTTTTACAGTCCCTGAAAAAATATTCTTTAGAAAATCCACACCTTTTACAGTCCCTGAAAAAATATTCTTTAGAAAATCCACACCTTTTACAGTCCTTGAAAAAATATTCTTTAGAAAATCCACACCTTTTACAGTCCCTGAAAAAATATTCTTTAGAAAATCCACACCTTTTACAGTCCCTGAAAAAATACTAAAAAATATTCTTTAAGACCTCCACGGCTTATAAAGTCGCTAAAAAATATTCTTTAAAACATCCACGCCTTATAAAGTCCTTGAAAAAAATATTCTTTAAAACATCCACGCCTTATAAAGTCCTTGAAAAAAATATTCTTTAAAACATCCACGCCTTTTATAGTCCCTGAAAAAATATTCTTTAAGCAGGGACCGTAACGGTTATAACTTATATCAAATCAGGTAAAAAATAACTGTTATTATGTGACCTAAATAAAAAAAATCCACTTTAATTATTTATTTTTTAACGGAAAAAATAAACGTTGATTTTTAACTGTTAAAAATGATTTTTATTTTTTCCGTCAAAAATAAAAGTCTTTTTGGGATTTTTATTTTTTCCGTCAAAAATAAAAGACTTTTTTGGGACTTTTAATTTTTCCGTCAAAAATAAAAGTCTTTTTGGGACTTTTATTTTTTCCGTCAATAATAAAAGTCTTTTTGTGATTTTTATTTTTTCCGTCAGAAAATAAAAGTCTTTTTACGTAAATAAACATATAGAGTTTGGTACCAGTTATATAAATCAGGGGAATGATTCTTTAATTTATATTCATGATTTGGTACACTAGACTATTTTTTAAAAATTTATAACAAATATTTTTTACCTTTGATCTTGATTACTTATGTGTACACTTGTTGTAATAAGGACAGAGATTTATAAATTGTAATTTTATAACTGATTACAAGTTGTATAAACTTCTTTACATAAAAAGAGTTTTATTTCCTGACGGAAAAAATAAAAATCCCAAAAAGACTTTTATTTTCTGCCGGAAAAAATAAAAATCCCAAAAAGACTTTTATTTTTGACGGAAAAAATAAAAGTCCCAAAAAGACTGTTATTTTTGACGGAAAAAATAAAAGTCCAAAAAGACTTTTATTTTTGACGGAAAAAATAAAAATCGCAAAAAGACTTTTATTTTTGACGGAAAAAATAAAAATCATTTTTAACAGTTAAAAATCAACGTTTATTTTTTCCGTTAAAAAATAATCCTTAACATGGGAACTGAGAGTGTTTTCTCAAGATCACTCAATACCCTTAATGGGCTCCTCAGTACGAATCTATTGGTATATGACACTATTGGTGTCCCATGTCTCTAACATGAAGATTTTTTTGTTCGCATTTTAAAAAATAACTGTTATTTTCGGTCCCTGTTTTTAAGACATCCACGCCTTATAAAGTCCCTGAAAAAAAATATTCTTTAAAACATCCACGCCTTATAAAGTCCCTGAAAAAATATTCTTTAATAAATCCACGACTTTTATAGTCCCTGTAAAAATATTCTTTAACAAATCCACGCCATTTATTGTCCCTGAAAAAAAGATTCTTTAAAAAATCCACGTCTTTTATAGCCCTTGAAAAAATATTCTTTATAAATCAACGCCCTTTATCCACACCTTTTATAGTCCTTGAAAAAATATTCTTTATAAATCAACGACCTTTATCCACGCCTTTTATAATCCTTGAAAAAATATTCTTTATAAATCAACGCCCTTAATCCACGCCTTTTACAGTCATTTAAAAAAATATTGCTTAGAAAATCCACGCCTTTTATAGTCCTTGAAAAAATATTCCCTAAAAAATCCACACCTTTTATAGTCCCAGAAAAAACATTCTTTAGAAATCAACGCCTAATAAATTTCCTGTTAAAAGTTCAATTTTATTTGATTTTTTACTTGTTTATTAATTTTATTTTAATATATAGTTTTTTTAATATTCCTCTCTTTCATACTCACCTGATCCTCCTATCAAATCCCACACCTGGACATATTTCACATTTGTAAGGCATACCGGTATGTTTGAATAAATGCGCTTTTAATTTATTACGATTATCGTAGACAGCATCGCAGTATTGGCAGGTGTGTTTTATACCTTCACGTTTTTGCAGATGATAGGTTAGATGGACCTTAATGGCAAAACGTTTACTGCAGCGATGACAGGTGTATGGCATTTCACCCGTATGACTACGCATATGAATATCAAGTTCAACTTGACGAGGATAGGCTTTAGGACATATGCTACATTTATATGACCGTTCTTTGTGTAAACGTTTATGGGCCGATAATTGTGACTGTCCACTAAATGTGTTACCACATTCCTGGCATATATATTTTTGCTTATGTTGTATTTGTTTTTATTTCGAATTGAGTTTTCATACGGTCATAGGGTACTTCATGGTATTCATCATCTAGTATTACAAAATATTCATTGTCATGTACGAGTTGAATGTGTAAAGTCAAATCATCTCCGTTTGAAAATAGTTTAGCTGGAAAGGGAGAGAAAATATTTGTTTCTTTATAAGGAGAGTATAAATCTCTTCTCCTCCTCAGTTAATCAATGTAGGAAAAAATGTTCGATAATTATTTTTGTATATTTGTTTATCAGGTATATTTACAGGATATAATTAAAAATTACATATTTTTACACTATAGACTTCTAAACTATATTGGCATTTGGGGGGGACATTCCTTAAAACTCATCTTCATGTTTCGAGCTAATTTGTTTAATTTTTATTGTTTTGCCAGTATTACGTTGAAACATTTCACTTAAGGCTTCGTCGGACATTGTCGAATGATGGACCCTAGATAAATGACGTTTAAATCTGTAATAGAAAAAAATGATGCATTAAAATTTCAAATATAAAACCCAAAAAATACTTACACCACACGCGTTGAAAACCCGTGGTCATCACACAGCTCACAACGATATGGCATTCCGGTGTGTTTGAAGGAGTGTGTTTTAAGTTTCTGCTTCGAATTGAATTCCGCATGACATTCTTTGCAACGATGCTTGACACCATAATGCTTTTGCAGATGATATGTAAGGCGTACTTTAATGGCAAAACGTTTGCTACACAAATGGCAGGCATAAGGCATTTCTCCGGTATGCGATCGCAGATGAACATTCAAATCAAATTGTCGTGCATATTTCTTATCACAGTGTGGACATTGGATATTCTTTTCCAAATGTAGTTTCATATGATTAACCAATTGATTTTTCAATTTGAAGGCATTGCCACATATTGAACAGATATGGTCACGTTCCTTATGGGCCTGTTTACGATGTGTATCCAACAGAAGTTGTGTTGCATATTGACGACCACAATCATCACATGTATATATCGTGTAAGCCGATTCACTTTCATGTATGCGTTCATGTTGATGCAAAGATTTGGAGGTTTTAAATTCACGTGCTGCAGACAAAGTATTGAAGTTTTTATTTATTAATTTTTGTTTTTTTTTTCACATTTGCACAATATTGTAGCACTACTTTTTAAATGGTTTAAATATTTATTGAAAATATGAGGAAATTTGACACCCAATGGAAACCTAAAATATTTTTTATACCCTCCACCATTTGACGTGTCTTGAATAACTGGGTATGTCCACCCAGAGTACTATCATTACGTGGACCTCTTTAGGAAATCCACGCCTTTTATAGTCCTTGAAAAAATATTCTTTAGAAAATCCACGCCTTTTATAGTCCTTGAAAAAATATTCTTTAGAAAATCCACGCCTTTTATAATCCTTGAAAAAATATTCTTTAGAAAATCCACGCCTTTTATAGTCCTTGAAAAAATATTCTTTAGAAAATCCACGCCTTTTATAATCCTTGAAAAAATATTCTTTAGAAAATCCACGCCTTTTAGAGTCCTTGAAAAAATATTCTTTAGAAAATCCACGCCTTTTATAGTCCTTGAAAAAGTATTCTCTAGAAAATCCACGCCTTTTATTATCCTTGGAAAAATATTCTTTAGAAAATCCACACCTTTTATAGTCCTTAAAAATATATTCTTTAATAAATCCACGCGTTTTTTAGTCCTTGAAAATCCACGCCTATTATAGTCCTTGAAAAAATATTCTTTAGAAAATCCACGCCTTTTATTGTCATTGAAAAAATATTCTTTAAAAAATCCACGCCGTTTATAGTTCACGTCTTTTATAGTCCTTGAAAAAATATTCTTTAGAAAATTTACGTCTTATATAGACCCTGAAAAATATTCTTCAAAAAATCCAAGCCTTATATAGTCCATGAAAAAAATATTTTTTAAAAAATCCAAGCCTTATATAGTCCATGAAAAAAATATTCTTTAAAAAATCCACGCCTTATATAGTCCATGAAAAAAATATTCTTTAAAAATACACGCCTAATATAGTCCCTAAAAAAATATTCTTTAAAAAATCCGCGCCTTATATAGTTCCAGATTTTTTTTTTTAGAAAATCCAGCCTTTTATAAATATTGAAAAACATTATTTTTAAAATCACATCTTGTATAGTTCCAAAAAAATTTAAATACAATAGTATTTTGGTTGTTGGGCTAATGACCGGGGTCCCAAGAACTACTTATAGTAAAAATGTCAAAACAATCTGCGACCGTGCCTTAAGCTAGACTTATAATTCGAAATTTTCTTTATAATCAAAAATACCAATTCATAAAAGAATACATATTGGTGTTGCAATACTTACGACAATAGGCACACAACAATTTATTCACATCCTCCGTGGTTTTCTTATCCTTTCGTTGGTGGACCAACATATGCCGTTTGAGATTTTTCTTCAATAACTTTTTATTACACACCTCACAATAGACAATGGCATCGATGGATTCCAACATGTTTTCTTCAAAGTCATCTTCAACTGTTATGTCATGATCTTCACTTGCCGATACATTACAACATTGTTCCTGATGCAGATGTAATTCTTCGATTGTTTTATATGTTTGGGAACATGATTCACATTGAAATGCTAATTTCGAATTTGACAACTCTTCAACTTCGTCGTTCTGTTCTTCGTTACGTATGTGGAAATATTTTAAATGGTCTATAAGTTTGTCTACTTTTATATGCGGACAAAATGGGCAGGATGTTAGATGACAGCGATTACCATGTGTTAAGCTAATTTCATGTAGAAGGAGATCGGCATCATTTACAAATTCCCGCTGACATTCGGGACATTTGAACGACTGAGAAGAGATATCGGTATCAAGGTTTTGTTTTTGATCCAATACTTGACAATCATTTGGATGTTGTTTAGCATTATGTCGTTTATCTTTGTGTTTCTTCAGGGCAATACGACAACGGAATTCCGCCTTACATTGTGGACATGTATGAGGATGCAATTGTTTGTGAATATTCATATGACCTTCATAGGATACATCACCACGCAGCACACGTTTACATTCAATACATTTCCATTTGGGTGGTTTAAAATTATAAAATGCTTCTTCGGCAGGATTGTAGGGTATTAAGTAATCCTCGTCACATTCGTCATCGGCGTAATGATCTTGACGCATTTCTTCTTTATTAAGTAATACATTTTGCTGGGTGGCAGCCACCTGGGCCAACTCTTCCAAGTGACCACTTAGTTCTTTATCTTTAGCCAGTGGTTCTTGTTGTGCTGGGGCGTCCACATCTGGTATATCATCAACAACTTCGAATATTTCTTCCTCTATGATTTGAAAATTCTCATCATGGGAACCCTGAAAATGGTAGTCAGAATATAATAACCCGTTTGAATTGAAATCTCAACCATACTTACATATTCCTCTACCAATTCACCATCCACCGTCAACACCTCTTCCTCGGCCAGAACACAAGCCGCCATACTTTCATCACCACCACCCTCGCCGTCATGTTCAATCTCAGTTATAAAACAATCTTCCTCCAGGATTTGGATATTTTCATCCTCCGCATCATGAATCCCTTTCATCTGACGCAATTCCTTTCGCAGTACCTCATCTCCGTGGCGGATTAATAAACCAAATTCAAATATATTACGAATCTCCTCCGAACAATCACCGCATATTTTTTGTGGTAGACCATCGTTTTGTTGAACATCTACTTCCGCAATGTGCCGAATATTATCGGCATAGGTGAAGGAGGATTTACAATTATCGAATATATCAAAATACCGATGGGAAGAGTTGAGGCAAATGCGGCACCGTTTTGTATCCATGATTTTGCTCCCGAAAAATTTGTTTACATTTGAGTTTTTTTTTCGATTGAATCGAAGCATCTGTTTGAGGTCGTGTGTTCAGTCGAGCATGTACCGAGAGCGTCACTTATTGTTAAACACAATGTAAGCGTTTTGGAGTTAATCGTATCGTCAACGCAGCCATTTAGATGGGGAGTTTGAACGTGAGGTTGTCAGCACTGAACACATAACAATAATTGAGGTTAGTTATGACGTAACGTAGACTGGCTGCAGTTTGAATTAAAAAAGGCGGCAATAGTCCAATAGAGATATGGGGGAGCCCCCACGAAAGAAACTTTGATTTATGGGGGCATGGTGTTATGAAATTAATTATAATTTGCCTCCTTTGTGCTACTGTCACTACATGTGCTTCGATTTAAAGAAAATTCGGCTTATGAAAGTTCGATTTAAGGAAGTTCATCGTTCTTATTGCCGTTAAACGACATTTACCTCAGATTAACAAGAGAGTGATGGAAACTATTCTACTATCCTGAAGATTCTGAGAGATTGTCACAAACGGAAAATGGACATGTAAAGGCAGCAAGTTACCGAAATCTGAGGTAATTTTTTTATCACCTGCAATGCTAATTCCTTATTCTTATTAACGTTTAACGACATTTATGTCAGATTATTATGTTGAAAATTTATACTAACTTCTTCTATTCAGGGAAGATTGTAACAAATGGAAAACGGACATGTGAAGCGAACTGGTTAACTGCACGGAGAGTATTCCACTCGAAATCTGAGGTAATCTCTCACTTCTACGATACAGTGTTAATCCATGTAGGTTGGGTTATAGAGTGCAGAACAGATAGATAATTCAACGGTCCATTGTGCCCATTCTGAGTAAAGAAAAATAGAGAACGGCCGAATTTAGGTGATATAGCTGAGCCAAAATAAATGTTTGGCATTTTGGTTTAATTTATTCTGAAGAATTTGTTTTAAGTCGAATCATTCAGCATCTACAGAGTCAATGTTCGATTGTCTCTATGTTTTTAACATCCTCACATAGACAGGAATAGTCCACTTCATTAAAGTTCCATTTGGTCAGAGTGCGATATCTAATTCGGCTGTGACATGTTATAATCCCTAAAGTCAGATGTATCTATGTTGTAAAAATTGGTCCACAAACTGAAAATGGTTAGCCACTCAAAATCAGAGGTAATATCTATATTTGATACTACTGGGTGCTGCATGGTACACGTTGGATTAAAGGATGTAGGTCAGGATTATAGGTCAGAAATAAAGGATGAATTGATGTGTCATCTTAAGTGAGTGAGTGACTGACAGCTCATAGCCCAGACGAAACGGCTGAAGCTAAATGATGAATTTTTGAGTGTGGGTTTTTGTAGATTAGGCTGGGTTTTCGGAAATTGGACCTAGAAGGGTACAAAAAGTTCTGTACTAAATATGGTACCTTTTGTATTAGGCAAACGGGAAGAGCTAAAATTCTGAAATTTGGAATGTGGGTCACTGATGGAAAATTAGAAAGATATACAAATTGTTTTTATTTTCAGAAATACGACCTATAAGTGTACGAAAAGTACCAAATATTACTACATTTAGTTCTAATTGTATATATATTGAACATATATAGCTGTATGGAAGACAGGTTGGGAAATGGTGTTGATGTATAGAAAGGGTTTTGAAATTTCGTACTTATGTCTCTGGAAATTTTTAAATCATACTAAATTTGGTACTATTTGCATTTTGTTGAGCGCATAGATATGGAATACTGAAAATATGAACTTTTGGAGTACAGAATTGAGGCAGCTTCAAAGAATCTTATTTATATGTACGAAAAGTACTAAATGGTACTCATTTTGGTACACGATGGATTTAGGTGAAAAGAAAAAGGTGAAGTCTTGAAATTGAAAATTAAAATGACTGATGAAGTGTAGGATTGAGGTATTTTAGAAAATTTATACTTATGGGTACGAAAAGTATTAAATGGTACTAAATTTAGTACAGTTTGGATTTTGGGTGAACGAATAGAGCTGAATACCTGAAATTTCGAATTAAGATTACTGTTAAGGTTTGAACTATGGAGACAGCTTTGGAAATTCGTATTTAAAAAGTACTAAACGGTACTATGTTTGGTAAAATTTGGAATAATGGTTTCTGTTGGAGTGTAGAATTGAGATATGGTGGCATCGTACGCACTTGTACTCAATGTTACTAAATTTGGTACAATTTTATTTTGTGTGAACGGGTGAAGCTTGACACAAGAAGTTTTGAATTAAAATTACTGTTGAAGTGTAGAATTAAGTAGTTTAGGACATTCTTAATTATGGAAACAAAAAGTACCAAATGGTACCAAATATTTTACAATTTGTTGTCATGTGAACGGATAGAGTTGAAAATCTGAATGGGAATTAAAACTAGTGTTGAAGTGCTGGATTGAGATATGGAACTAGTTTTAAAAATTCGTAATTATGTGTACTAAATGGTACTAAATTTAGTACAGTGAAGGGATAAAGATGATAATATTAAATTTGGAATTGAAATTACGCGTTTTAGGTAGTATTGGAATTTCGTACTTATGGATTCGATAACAACTAAATGGTACTAAATATGATACAATTTGTTTTGTGTGAACGAGAGCGGGTATCCTACAACTTGGAATTAAAACTATTGTTGGAGTATAGGATTGAGACATGGAGGTAGTTTTGAAAATTCGTAATTATGTGTACTAAATGGTACTAGATTTGGTAAAATTAAGATTTGAGTGAACGATAGAGATGGAAAACTTATATTTGGAATTAAAATTACTGTTATAGTACAGGATTGAGGAAGTGTTAGAAATTCGAACTTATAAGTATGAAAAGTACTAAATTGTACTTAATAAACTACAATTTGGATCTATGTGAACGGATAGAACTGGGATACTGAAATTTATGATTAAATTTATTGTGTAATATAGGTGGAATTCGGTGGAATTATAGTACAAGAAATTATACAGTTTCCACGATTTTCATATGCATTTGGAACAATTATCATAGGAATTCCTAATCAAAATAAAATTGTATGTCTCTTAGAATCATGGATAGAGATCGTATTATCTGATTGGGTAGAAAATTTACATACCAAAATTTATCATTATTGGTTATTTCCAAATTTAATAGCCTAACTTCATATCAGAAAGAAATATGACTCGATATTAAGAAGTCACAATGAAACAGAGGTCTCCGAGTGGGGGTGATTAGTTCTGAAAGGTATGTACCATACTTGGGAAGGCTTTAAATAAATAAATGTATCTTTCAAAATTATGTTAAGAGCTTCTTTGCGGGAAATGTTCTAAATTGTCAACCTGAAGCGTTTTTAACAGCTAAAATTATATTATATTGCCAACAACCTTTCCAGAAATATTTATTAGACCAACCCTTATTTAAATCCATCAATAATAAAACTCATCTTCCTCATAAATTGCAACAACAACTATTTGTTTATTATGTAATTCTTATTTTTTTATAACTTTTTCTTTAACATAAAGCCTTTTCTTATATATTTAAATGTTTCTGACAATAAGTCTTTAAGTAGCATTTTTGTTCCATTTCATAATTTTCCTCTTTCGTTTAATTATCCTTCAATATCATTGGCAAAACAACATGGGGTTCATTATTTCGTGGATTATCCGAATATAAGGCAACAGTTCTCTCATTCAAATCGAAAATACCAATGGCAATTGTTTTCACCTCTTGATCCAACGAATTATTTTCACGGAAAACACAATGTTCACCACCCGAACAATCACCCAACATATTAATAACATCCTGTTTCGATTTAGCCGGTTCATAGGTGCTAAATGTGTTCATACGCGATACACTGGAATCGATCATAATCTGATTGCCCTGTTCGATTTCGATGCGTTCGTATCTGAAAGTAGAGGAAATAGGTTTTATAAATTTAAAGATAGAGATCTAAAATAAAATGGTCTCAAAAAATAAGTAATTATAAAAATTATAAGGTTTATTATCTTAGGACTGATCACTTTCTAATTCGATTTATGCATATCCGTCCGTCCGTCTGTTTGTCTGTCTATGTTAAATTGTAAACAAAGTACAGGTCGCATTTATGAAACGAATTGGATGAAATTTAGCACAGCTCATTCATTTGGCCCAATGACGAACCCTGTTGAAGATTTAGATATAGCTCCCATATATATTTTCATCCGATTTAATGTAAATGCTGCACCAAAGTTCCTATATATCTTTCGATTTACAGGAAATTTGGCATAGAGTACTGAATTAAGTTTAGAATGATGTGTTCTAAGTTTCGTGATAATTGGTTCAGATTTAGATATAACTCCCATATATATTTTCGTCCGATTTAATGTAAATGGTGCACCAAAGTCCCTATATATCATTCGAATTGCACGAAATTTGACATAGCGTACTAAATTAAGTCTTGAATGATGCGTGTTAAGATTTGTAAAAATCGGTTGAGATTAAGATATAGCTCCCATATATATTTTCGTCCGATTTAATGTAAATTGTGCACCAAAGTCCCTATATATCATTCGATTTGCACAAAATTTGGCGCAGTGTACTGAATTAAGTTTGGAATGAGGTGAGTTAAGTTTCTTATAAGTTTTGTGAAAATCGGTTGAGATTAAGATATAGCTCCCATATATATTTTTGTCCAATTTAATGTAAATGGTGTAAAAAGTCATATATCTTTCGATTTAACGAAATTTGGCATAGCGTATTGAATTAATTGAAATGGTGCACGTGAAAAGTTCAGATTTATATATCATTATGTTCAATTTCATGCAAATTTTCTTTCGAAAAGGCGACGTCTGTTAGGAGACTATGTAGACTATACCCATAGTGGTGAAGGGTATCATATAGTCGCCCAGTCCGGCTTTACTACTTTCCTTACTGGTTTTACTTGTTTCTATAAAAAACCCATTAACAAAGATAATTTGTTCCTATCCAAAAAGTCTCATTAAACTGTTTTCAATTTTTTTCTATCCTCATTAATATTCGATTTTTCTATAGAAAAGCTTTAATGAATTTTGGATGATTTTATGTTCAGAAAATATTTTTCATAAAATTTATACTCACTTATTGGCATGATAGCTGTGGTCTCCTTTCTCAATTTTACGAATATTCAATGTGGACTCTTTGGAGTTGCCCTCGGTGGGAGCCATTTCAATGTTATAGCACAAATTGGAAGGATCGCTGAAATAAAGAAAATACACAACATAATTAAAGCAAATATTTCAAATAAAATATAAAACTTTACTTTATGAAGCACATATTAATGGAACAACCATCTCCAGCACCCACACCAGCATCACGAATAATTTTCATGGCCTGATCCGTGCTGTCGGCACTTAGAAGGGCACGGGTAATGAAGTGTCTTGCTAAAATGAAAAAAAATTAATAATAAAAAATTAGGAAGAGGAGCAACATAGTGGGACGGGGCCGACCATATGATATCGTACACAACTACCAGTGAACATCAACGTTATGTGGAGGTAACTTCCGAGGCTGGCAAAATTTCCAAATTTTTGCATTCTCTTATTCGGTAATGGTAATATCAAACCATATCACAATATCAGACCTCGTATGCTCACAACATTGTTGTGTAGGGTATAAATTACAAACATTAAATACAAATTATTTAACTATTTAACTTACGTGTCTTGCCACTTCGCAATACCTCAGCCGATAGGGTATTAATCGAAAATACCAAGCCATGGTGATTGTAATTCATGGTATAGCCTGGCAAATGGCCAGCATAGCATAGCGACATAAAACGTTCCTCTTTTACATTGTATTTGCCTTGCGGTGTATCGTTGATGATGTGAGCCACAACAAAGTAATAGTGATTCAATGTTTCTGTTAGGGCATCTTCGGTGTGGCCCAAAACTCTCTAAAAAGTAAACAAAATTGTAGTATTTAAAAAAAATGGACATATTTTATTCATACCTCCTTATCGTTATTGACAATAATAGTAGAACATCCAACCGGTTGTTTTTTGATCGTATTCAAATGCTTAACACTCTGGGGCAGGATATCATCCATGTGCAAGAGGAAGAGCTAAAATTGAAATTTAAAAAAAATCGATATTAAAACAAATTTTAAAATAAACTTTAACATACTGTAGAAATATATTATAGGAACCGACAAGGGGTCGGTGAGATTGGTCGCTATAGAGGATATGTTGTTATAAACGATATCAAATAAAGGACATAAGTTTTCTCGGGACTTTTGGATACAGTCGTTATAAACTATGTTGACTATTTTCCTATAAGCATTGGTTTAGTTATTGGCTATATATTTAACCTCATTTTTAACCTTCACCACTATGGGTATATTCTATTAACATGAAATTGGATGAAATAATATAAAAAAAAAACATTACAAAACCAGCAAGGAAAGTAGTAAAGTCGGACTGGGCCGACTATATGACACCCTTCACCACTTTGGGTATATTCTACATAGTCTCCTATTAGACGTCGCCTGTTCGAAAGAACATTGACATGGAATTGAATGAAAGATATTTAGGGACTTTGGCGCACCATTTACCTTAGATCGGACGAAAATATATATAGGAGCTATATCTAAATCTGTACCGATTTTAACGAAACTTAGCACACGCCATTATAAACTCTATTCAGTACGCTATGCCAAATTTCGTGCATATCGAAAGATATTTAGGGACTTTGACGCACCGCTTACCTTAAATCGAACGAAAAAATATGAGAGCTATATCTAAATCTGAACCGATTTTCACGAAACTTCATGTATGTCATTCTAGGCCTAATTCAGTACGCAATGCCAAATTTCGTGCAAACGAAAGATATATAGGGACTTTGGTGCACCATTTACCTTAAATCGGACGAAATTATATATGGGAGATATATCTAAATCTGAACCGATTTTCCCAATTTCAATAGGGCTTGAGCCAAATAAATGAGCTGTGCCAAATTTCATCGAATTCGAATAAAAAATGCGATCTGTACTTTGTTTACAATTTAATATCAACAGACGGTCGACTCAGAAAGTGATTCTATGCATATTCTCAAAAGGAACCATGTGTCTATATCGTTTCCTTTTGCCTGTTACAAACATATGCACAAAGACGTAATACCCTGTACCACAGTGTGGTGAAGGGTATAATCAGTAAATGTATGGTATAATATTTATCCTTCCACATTTTTTAATTGCCCAATTATTTTTATTATTCTTTTCAAGTGTAATTCAAACATGTTTTTCTTCTTCTTTTTTTAAATAACGGTTACAATAATCCGCTAAGAAAATGACACGCCAATGTTTTTTTTTTTAATTTATTTATAGTTCATTACTCTTCATGCAACGTAAAAATAAACCGTTAGTATTTGTTGGGAGGGAGGTAGGTCGGTGGGGTAGTTAGTTTTAAACCACAATTTAACATTGAAAACCGTTCGAGTGGCAATGTTACAACCAACATATTCGTATGTATGTTTACACAAATGTTGGAAGCCAAAAAATATTGCGTGGTATGAAATGTATTCCGTTTCATGGTGGCCAAGTTACTATTTTTGTAAGACATTAAAAACACGAAACTTAAAGTAACCACCTTGAAAATCGATCCATTTGAATCGGTCAAGGAAATGACAAAGTGATTTTTTAATTTTCTTCACATTGAGCTGAAATGTCCTGTCCGAATTAAGGTTTATTCATGTAGATGTAAAACATTTAAAAATAACTTAAATCATTGGGACAGGAGAAAAAGAAATACCAATTCGGCACTATGTGGGAAAAAAATGTCTGATGTTGTCAAAATATCGATGAAAGGTCTGCTATTTGGACCAATACCAAATCGTGGACAATTATTTGTAGGCCAGATTTTGCCTTGACGTCGAGCATATTCTGCAAGCTAGTCTAAGAATATTCTCCAAGGGCGAGTACCTACATCGAAAAACTTCTTATTTTTATACCATCCACCAAAAGGTGGAGTGTATATTAAATATGTATTTCCGTTTGCAACACCTCGAAATATTCACGGGAGACTCCAGAAAGTATATATATTATTAATCAGAATAAAAATTCTAATTCGAATTACGCATGCATATCTGTCTGACAGCCTGTTGAGATCACGACAGAAATCGCAATATTTAATTTAGAGCTCTAAAATTTTGCAAGTACTTCTGGGATGTTTGGTATTGCGCTCATATATCTGTACCCACCCAATATTCGGTATTTTGGACCCGTTTTCCAACCGCATTGGTTATAATTTGGAATTTTGGTTTCTCATTGAATAACACATATCCGTACCAAAAAATATTACTATTGACCAAAGCTGCAGGGTGGTCCTCATATAACGGTACCCCTAGTATTCTAGGGATTCTGGACACCCAATTGGCTGTATTTTGTATTCTCATTGGCTGAACCGATTTCAACGAAACTGTCCAGTGATTAATTTATATTACTTCAGTAAATTGTACGGTATGTAAATTTACATAAAATCGGAAGAAAATACATATGGGAGCTTTATCTATATCTGAACCGATTTTTACGAAACTTAGCACACATAATTCCAGATTTAATTCAGTAAGCTATGCACATTTCGTGCAAATCAAAAGATATATACGGACTTTGATACAACATTTACATTAAATCGGACGAAAATATATATGTGAGCTATATCTACATCTGAACCGATTTTCACGAAATTTAACATATATCGTTCTAGACTTAATTCAGTACGCTATGCCAAATTTCGTGCAAATTAAAGCATATATAGGGATTTTGGTGCACCATTTACATAAAATCGGACGGATATATTTGAGCTATATCGAATTCGAACCGATTTTTACGAAACTTAGCACAGATCATTCTAGACTCAATTCAGTACGCTATACTAAATTTCGTGCAAATCGACGGATATATAGGGACTTTGGTGCACCAAATACATAAAATCGGTCGAAAATATATATAGGAGCTATATCTAAATCTGATTTAAGGAAACTGACAGACATCATTCCAGACTCAACTCAGTACGCTATGCCAAATTTCATGTAAATCGAAAGAAAAGTAGGGCCTTTCATACACTATTTACATAAAATCGGACGAAAATATATATGGGAGCTAAATCGAAATCTGAACCGATTTTCCCGAAACTTACCACACATCATTCTAGACTCAATAGTGTACTAACTATGCTAAATTTCGTGCAAATCGAAGGATTTAAAAGGATTTTGGTACACTATTTACCTATAGAGCTATATCTAAATATGAACCGATTTTTCCCCGTTTCAATAAAGTTTTGGGCCAAATAAATGAGCTGCGCCAAATTTTATCTAATTCAGATCATAAATGCGACCTGTACTTTGTTTACAATTTAACATGGACAGTCAGACGGACGGACGGACGGCTCAGAAAGTGATTCTATGCATATTCTCCTTATTGACATCCTGTATGTTTTTCACCCTACGAGAGGAAATGTCTTGGATCTACACGGATATTAAATTACAGTTAATATAAGAAGACTAATTTATGAGTTTCGTCAACGCTGGAAGGGTGGGCTACCAATAGATATGACGAAGCCGAAGAACATAGGTGTAGATGAGTCAAAGAGGCGGAATTGTCTGAAGCTGTATTTTTGATTTATTTAATATTTTGAATTTTTGTATGCTGGACTATATTCAATGTCTGATCTGTGCATATGTTTATGTAGAACTCGTATTACTATCTGGAGCTTTTGGATTTATTGATTTTATATTTATACATAAAATTTTAGTTCAATTTGTATTAATATATAAAATGTATTTTACTTTTTTTATTTTTTGACGTATAGCGTAACTAAACTATTGACTTACTATACATAATTAACCCCGGTGGCGGTATAATATACCATATTACAAGATTATTAAATAAATTAATGTAAACTTTGTACATCGCATGCAGGTGGATAGGTTCGTTAATTTTTTTCTTGTAAATGGCCACCTTAACCTAGAGGAGAAACATGGAATGTCGATAACGATATGCTATACAAACTAAACAACAAATTTAATTGCCATAACGAACTTATAAAATAATAACAACAATGTGCATAAATATCTACATACAGAAGTAGTTACATTTCTTGATGTAACCATGTTCTAACGCATTCACCGTTGTTAGTATGATCGATATGTATTACCACCATTTAGTCGATGTGTATTGCCACAAAATAAGACGTAATTACGGAACGTCTAAAGTCAACAAGAATTGGTTAGCTAATTGAATAATGTTTGACATAACAAGAAAAAAATAAACTACCAACTTAGCTAAATATAAGAGCATAGTGTAAATTTGAATTGTGTTCTGTCGGCGAAAAAATGTATGTGTGTTCGCCAAAACTGAATGACATTCAACAACGAGAATTTATTTGGCTTCTGCCATCTGGACAACCTCAACGGGTTTTGTTTTGTTTTTGGCCTTAGCATTGTTATATGATTTAGTCTAAGACATTTAATTGAGATGTTAATTCTTTTTGGACACTATCGTACATAAAAACATATATATTAAATACTGCCGTCCCGAATAGTCACAACTATGAGGACAACATTTTCGATATGCCAATCCGGATAAGAAATAATAAATATATAATAAATATCAAAATAACAATAACTATAAAAATCCAAAGCCTATTGTAAACCAGTGAGCGGATCAGTATAGTCCGAAGGGGCCGACCATACGATACCCTACACAACTATCACGTATCTCTAACTTTCTGCAGATGTTTATTCCGAGCATTGGTAATATTTCGTGATATTTGCAACCTCTGGCTCGATTAGAGTTCAAAAGCACCTCTTCAACTGGCATATTTTCCGAATGTTACGAATATTCAGTACAACTCTTCCAATTACTTATCCAGATTCCCTTCAACGTGGGCTGTGTTGTGATGTTCGGTTTGTAATTGTGACCTATATATCAACCCTAAAAAACACAAACAAATTAAGTTCTCGACCCACTTCATTTAAAAATTATTATCTGATCATCGCCGAAAATTATAGGCGTTGTCCTTGACCATAACATGTCCTTGACCATAACGTGAAAAATGTCAAAGCGAT